ATTTTCTGTTATAATCACGCGCCACTTTTATGTCGTGCTTCCACAATTGACTCTGATTTCTTGTTAAAGGTGACACTTCTTTGATCTAAAAATACAAATAAAAAATTAACATTTCTAATTAATGGACGGCATCATATTTACTTACTCTTAAAATGATAACGCCCACAAATAAAATACAAAGAACATTAACAATCGTTAATAGCATGCTAATTGCACCATATACAGTGAGCTCAATTGACTGGTGATTTGAATAATAATTGGTGGTGACCACTTTACTGTAGAGATTTTCATCATTCTCATTCAATTTATATAAAACAGCTAATGCACAAAAGATTCCCTGTTACATGAAAAAAATCGATGGCATTTGGAGCAAATTATAGTCAAGCTATTCAATGGAAACTGTATCGACTTAAAATAATGTTGAATTACCGCATTGACGGCAGGTGGTAACAAAGAAACTGAAATAGCTACACCGACCAAAGAGCCGACATTGTCGCCCAAAACGGAAATCGCTGCGGCCGCACCAGTAAAGGATGCAGTAAAGACACCAATCAACACTGAATGCAGTTCACATCTATCATGGTCAAAATTCAATGTTTCAATATTGAGCATAAATTGATACTCAACCCTATAATAGTTAACTTTAATCATTATTTAAATGTAACCATCACCTGCTAATCATTTCGGTTGTAAGAGCTCGTTTTGAGCCATAAGCATATTCACTATCCAAACTGCATATAATCAACCCAAAACTGAAGCCAATAGCGGTTGCCAATAGAATGCCAATAACTTCATTTACAAGACCGAATCGAATTAATGCGTGATCTTTGATGACAATTCCAAAAAGTGTGGCAATCACCGGCCCCTAAAAATATGATTGTTAATTAAGTTGATGAACTGCAATCGAAATTCCAATGTCATACCATAAGCGGTGATATGAGCATGCTCGATGTTAAAGTTGTCGTACTATTTTCAATAAGTCCAAATGAAGCCAACATTCTACAAGTGAAATGGGTAATTTTATATTGAATGAAAGTTGATAGCTATTTGCCAGTTCTGCGATTTAAAATTTACCCAGCCACAATGATAAGCGTAACAAAATCAAATGTAAGCGTTGCATCTCGTTTGACTCGATCCACGATTTTAGCAACATTGTATCTGGCATGGGCCGATTTCACAAACTTATCCCATGTCGTTTGCTTTTGCTCAGCTATTAACCTTCAGATCGGATGTGCAAAGTTCATTTAAAACATATAATAATAATTTTAAGATTTTGTAATCATACTCTGTTCTGGGGTCAAGCTCAACGGTTTTCGTTGTCGATTGATTATAAATAGGAATCGGGATCATTGACATGCAAGAATTATTTCGCTGTCCGATGCCCCATTCATTCAGCGTGGATAAAATTAATTCGTGTCGTGCATTTGTTTCAACAAAAAATGTGATTTGATAGTATTTTGTATTTTTCGTTAGCTGCCAAACTGCATTATCAATGTTGAGTTTTTCAAATAGCTCGTTCATAATACATTCCATCGATGAATTTTGTGCAATATTTAACAATCCAGCACACTCTCCATAGTCATCGCTTCCCCACAGCAAACCTTCTGGGCCATTCTTTGTTATGTTTTCAAATGAAATAAAAAGTAGAAAAAACATGATTTATGAGTATAAATATAGACATGTAGATGATATTGAATTAATTCGTCACAGATTGCATAACCGTCTGCAGTGAATATATATATTAACAACTAATAAGAAAAAAATATCGTCGACGGGCGGTATTTTTTTCTCTTTAATAAACTAGCATTATCAATTTTTTATTGTAATCGAAAAAAATCGAAAAAAAAATATGAACAAAAAATCTACAATTTTGAATACTCCATTTTTGCACTTATCACTGTCTTGTTTTGTGTTCTCATTTTTGGAACTATTTTCCGGTTTTAAATGTACTTCTTTGTTCAGATTTTGTTCCTCCTGTTGCGTTGGAATTGTAACAATGAACAAAACACCAGACATTCT